ATCAACTGACGTTCGGGACTTTGCTCGTATGTGTCTCAATGAACTGGAAAAGCAGGCGAACTCATGAATGTACTCGCCTTTTGCTGATTTTTGGGACTTTACAGTCACCACCACCTGACGGAAATCATTACATTATTTGAAAAATATTCAAAACTCATTTGAGGATAGCCTGTTTAAACTGCACGACGTGAGAATCAAGCAACAGTTATTGTACCCGGCATGTTCTGTCCGTGATCTACGCATTTATTGGTTTGTGACACAAAGAGGTAGCGAAACTCTTCGCGGGATTTCTAACTTTGGCCGTCTAATAGCGATATATATTTAATATTTTGAAACCTTTCGCCGAGAAATTAAAATACTGGGATTGCAATGAGGGAAAGAAAGTCAACTTCCAAAATGAACCCGTAAAAAAATCTCCCAATACCACTTGTGCCTCTTGCTGATAAACTATTTATGGTTTGAACTGCCTTTTTGTAATCTTCTCCCTTCACTTACTAAGGAGAACTCTCCAGTAGGCTTCTAATTTATCAAAAAAATAAATAAAAGTAAATTAATTATGCAAGGAAATCTTTCAGCTTTATCTTCCTACATTGACCACTTCAAACTGTTCTTTTGGCTCGGAAAACAAAGGATTTTTTTTGGAATTAGTCCACAGCAGACAACATTGGTTAAGAAACAAAGAGTTGTGATACCACGGTCGCTTACACTGCTGTCGTATTACAATGCATCTGTGCGAACTGTCATATCTCTCTTGATTGAAAAACACAATAAGCAAATCAAATTTATCCTCCACTAGCCTGCAATCAGGCAATAAAGACTATTTTGCATCTTGTAAGTGTAAAAATAATTTTAACATAGATGGCGCATGAGTTCCATTGTGAGAGGTTCTTAAAGGCTTTCTCAGTCGTGAATAATCATAAAGCGGCTGTTCAATTTCGCTTCTCAAGCACTATTTCCAAAATAAGAAAAACAAAAGCCAAAAAATATTCCTCTTACTGCGGAGTGAGAATTTTTTTTACTATCAGTGCTTCAAAGGTAAACTCGATTGCAGCATGGTGATTGGCTGGAGCGCTGCCATGATAGGCCAAATTTATTGCTGAAATAAGTATTGACGGTATTTCTGGACGTATTTACTGAAACAAGCTTGCGTACGATGTCCTTTGAGCAAACGTTGAGGCATACCTGTTCGAGTGGTTGCGTCCTTCCAAACTGTTAGCGCGATGGTGTTCAATTGACGTTCGGGACTTTGCTCGTATGTGTCTCAATGAACTGGAAAAGCAGGCGAATTAATGAATGTACTACCTTTTTGCTGATTTTTGGGACTTTACAGTCACCACCACCTGACGGAAATCATTACATTATTTGAAAAATATCTAAAACTCATTTAAGGATAGCCTGTTTAAACTGCGCGACGTGAGAATCAAGCAACAGTTATTGTACCCGGCATGTTCTGTCCGTGATCTACATATTTGTTGGATTTCCAACTTTGGCCGTCTAATGGTGATGTTAAATATTTTGAAATCTTTCGCCGAGAAACTAAAATACTGGGATTGCAATGAGGGAAAGAAAGTCAACTTCGAAAATGGACTCGTAAAAAAATCTGCCGATACCACTTGTGCCTCTTGCTGATAAACTATTTACAGTTTGTGCTGCTTTTTGTAATCTTCTACCTTCACTTACTAAGGAGAACTCTCCAGTAGGCTTCTAATTTATCAACAAAAAAAAAAGTAAATTAATTATGTAAGGAAATCTTTGAGCTTTATCTTTCCTACATTGACCACTTCAAACTGTTGTTTTGGTTCGGAAAACAAAGGATTTTTTTTGGAATTAGTCCACAGCAGACAACATTGGTTAAGAAACAAAGAGTTGTGATACCACGGTCTCTTACGCTGCTGTCGTATTACAATGCATCTGTGTGAACTGTCATATCTCTCTTGATTGAAAAACACAATAAGCAAATCAAATGTGTCCTCCGCTAACCTGTAATCAGGCAGTAAAGACTATTTTATATCTTGTAAGTGTAAAAATAATTTTAACATAGATGGCGCTTGAGTTCAGTCCATTGTGAGAGGTTCTTAAAGGCTTTCTCAGTCGTGAATAATCATAAAGCGTCTGTTCAATTTCGCTACTCAAGCACTATTTCCAAAATAAGAAAAACAAAAGTCAAAAAATATTCCTCTTACTGCGGAGTAAGAATTTTTTTTACTATCGGTGCTTCAAAGGTAAACTCGATTGCAGTATGGTGATTGGCTGGAGCTCTGCCATGATAATCTAACATGTCTTAAAATAAGATCGCAACTTACCGATTAAAAAATTGGCATTTTTTGATAAAATTTTCGCGGGATCACACACAAAATTCGCAACCATTTAGAATCAACTTAACTTCGTCCAAAAGATAGGCTAGATAAAACAAGCCAGGCTAAAACTATCGGGATAGAACTGAACTGTCTTAAAATGATGATATTTGAACCTCGATGCAACCGTAGGTTAGTAATCTGTAATAATCATTTTGGTAAATGTGATAGGACTGAGTGGAGTCCAATGAGGTCTGTAATCATACGAAAGAGTAGTCAAGTTGTGAAAGAAAGAGAAAATTTGCATTAAAAGACTGACATAGGAGGCGTGAAGTGTTCAACTGCTTGATTAATTGGTTGATTTAAACTATAACTTTGAATGTGATAGGCTTATTGAACTGTCAACTAACAGTGCTCTGACGAAGAGCTACCGCACGAAACGTCAGCTTTCAAACCCCTTAGGGTGGCCAATTTACGTTATCAACTCAGTTGATATTAATCAATAACCCTGTCCGATGACAAACTGTCCGATAGCAACTTGACACGTGGATCAGTGAAAATATAATTTTTTTAAAACCAATCACAATCGAGGAAATTGTACCTTTAAGATTAATTCTGTTATTGGCTTGTTTAACGGCTTCTTGAGAGGCGAAGGTCGTTTTAATTTAATTAATTAATCAATTTAATTAGTAGAAAACAGCTTGGAAATCGCTCGAGATTATGCACTTAGCGAGTCCAGAGTGCGACGCTAGAGAAGAGACCAGGCGACTATTCTTTCGGCAAAACGTGCAAAAATGGGCCGTTTCACTCCCAGGTGTCCCGAACTAGAAGAGCAAACGATGGAGTGGTTTTCACAGCAGAGAGACCTAGTATTCATTTGTAATGTGAAATGAGAAGGGTTTTTGCCGAGTTGAGTGAGATCGTCTTTCAATGCGCAGGAAGCAAAGAATCTGATTGGTGTTCAGAAATACGTTGTTGTCATGACAATTTTAAAGCATGTCACGTAAAGAGCGCTGCAGTCACGGAATCTACGGTCATTTCGCATTAACATTAAATTTGTATTTGTTTTTTAATCCCAAACCTTCGGCTATGAGCCAAACCCCTTCTCTTGTAAAAATATCTCCCAAACTTTTGTGTCAAATACTGAAAAAATCGCTCGGCTTATAGGTGAAGAAATACGGTATCTTGCAATCACGCCAACCCCTTAATGACCAGAACCATTTTATTAGTTTGAAAATTTCAGAAAACACTCCACCCCTTCCGTTATCACTAAATACTCCTAATGAGCATCTATTTTAAGAAAAATTGTGTCCACTTCAGTACAAGGCGATAAAGGATTTATCATTGGTAAAATAACCATCTCCGGAACTCTTCCTTTTGCAACAATTGATGAGTTAACTGGATTTCATCGAACAACGATGGATAAATGTCACAAGATTGACCACCATAAAATTAAAATATAAATAAATTCTTCAAAGCTTTGAAAAATATATCGAATATCGTGGATTTTATCCTTAAACAGTTTTGTGATATCCTAATGAAACTAATTCATTCATGAGGCTAGGGACTGAGTTCCTTTATTCAAAATTGCAGGTGTTAAAATGCCCGCGATTTTCTTATGTAAAATAGCAAATTTTTTAAAAAAATTCTATCACCTCAGATGTTTTCTGAAATT